TAATTTAATAATTTCAAAAAACATGTCTTCCAGTAGCTTGATCAAGTCTAACTGTTGAACCATTTTAGTGAATTTCTCAATTCAATCACTGTATTCTTCAGCTGCAGAATATCTGCTTGTCCTTCAATAACTTCTGTTCTCTTTGCTGACAGTCCCATTTTGTTCATGCATCATTTTTTGGATTTTGTTTAGTTGTTTATCTGTATTCTATTGCAGTGTGTTGAAGATTTTTTAGAATGATCATTTTGAATAATCAGCTAACTTGTAGACTTCCATTTCTTTAAGGTAGGTTTGTAGAGATTCCTTTTATTCCTTTGATTGGGCCATGTTTTCCTGTATCTTCGTGTCCCTTATTATTTTTTTGTTGTGCTTTTTGAATTTGAAGAATCTCCTCTCCTGGTCTTTATGGACTGGTTCTGTACAGGGGAAGATTTTTAATCAATCTGTCTAGGGAACCTGGGGGGGCCTTCAAGCATTTTCTGGGGATGCATCTTCTCTCTGTGCACATAATTTCCCAATTAGAGAGCGCTGACAGTTTCTTTTTCAAGGGTTTCTTATCTCTTTCTCCCTCTAGTGTTCATCTGTGGTACCACAGGCTCTCTGATAGGACAAGCCACGAAACTCTTGCTCTCCGCAGCCCCTCAGGCATCCAAAGGATGCTCCTTCACTTCCTGCCTCAAGTCAGGGGACACAGAACTCATCTCTAAGGTAGCCCCTTTAAAAGCTGAAACCCTGTATGTACGTTCTACTCTTCCCCCTAGCCCCCACCCTAAAAGAGAAGTTGTGAGCGGGGTGCTTCGTCCTCATCACGCTAACCTGAGCCAGCCTCTGTCTGTGCACGGCCAGTTCTCCGTTGCTACAAGAAGCAGCGGAGCACTGCTTAACTCTCCCCGGTCTCCAGCCATTAAAAGTACGCTGATTTCCTGTCGGTGGTCAGAGTTAGGAAAGGCAGATGGCAGGTCCTCAGGTAGTCCCCCGAAGTGAGAATACTGGACACATGCCATTCTTTCTTTCCCAAGCGAGAAGCTTCAAGCTAGATTTTTCCTTCCAATGCCTCCAAGCCTGAAAAGCTCAGCAGAGGGGCCACTGTGGTTGATACGAAATGGCTTTCTTACATGTTTCAATATGGCTAGGCTTGGTTTTGAGCTTGCCAGGGGTACTTCATAAGTGATTTCTGAATTTCTTATAAAGGCTCTTTGGATCATACACTACTATTAAGTTAGTGCTTCTGTGGGGGAACAAGACTAGTGCTTCCTATCCTGCTATCTTGCTGACATCACTCCTTAAGAATTTTTTAAATGTTTATTATTTATTCAGTTTTCTTCCTTCAGTAATGACCCGCTTATATAGCTTGTCCATTTCCATACGGGAGTGGTTGTCTTATGATTGATTTGCAGGAAGCATTTCTATAGTTTGCACACTAATCCTTTGTTTTATAAACTGCAAATATCTTCTAAATCTGGTTGTTCTTTTCTATTCATTTAATAGCTTCTTGTTATTGCTTTTATTTATTCTTACTGAATTTTAAGAAATCATCAACTTAACTATGATGGGAGTTTGGTGCAGGGTGTAAATACACATTGCATCCTACTGACTTTTTAAATCCCCTTCAGTAATTTTTAATTCTATTACTTCAAAGATCCATTATTCAACATTCACCTGAAGGCTAAATCAAAGTCTTTACCTGATGTATAAATGATGGTAAGTGCTTTCCACACACCCTATGGGCACTTCATCTTATTTTTTAAGGTGTACTTTACCACAAAATGTACCTGTTTGAAATGTAGAATTCAAAAGATTTTTAACAAATTATTGACTTGGATAACCCCACCATCATCATCCACTTTTAGGACATTTCCATCACCTCAAGATCTTTTGTGCTCATCTGCAGGAAATCCCTCTACCTACCTCTGGTACCAGGCAACAAATAATCTATTTTCTGTCTCTAGTATGATTTATCTATTCTAGACATTCTACAAATATGGAACCATACAGTATGTAGCCTTTCATGACTGGCTTAAGCATAATGCCTTGTTTTTAATAATTTAAATTATTTATTTATGGCTGCACTGGGTTTTCATTGATGCACGCGGGCTTTCTCTAGTTGCGGATAGTGGGGGCAACTCTTCATTGTGGGCCCCAAGGCACACAGATTTCAGCAGTTGTGGCACACAGGCTTAGTTCCTCCAAAGCATGTGGAATCTTCCTGGACCAGGGGTCGAACCCATGTCCTCTGCATTGGCAGGCGGATTCTTATCCACTGCACCACCTGGGAAGTCCAAGCATGTTTTTAATGTTAACACATACTGTAACATGAATCAGAAGACTGTTCCTTTTTCACAGAGGAATAGCATTCTATTGTATGGACAAAGCATATTTTATCCATCCATTAATTGATAGATATTTGGGTTGCTCCTGCTTTTGGTCTATTATGAATAATGCCAGTATGAACATTCACATACAAGCATTTGTGTGCTTATTAGTCATTTGTATATGTATATATACTTTCAGTGACATACATTCCCATCTTTTACCAATTTTTTTCCATTTATTTTTATTAGTTGGAGGCTAATTACTTTACATCATTGCAGTGGTTTTTGTCATACATTGAAATGAATTAGCCATGGATTTACATGTATTCCCCATCCCGGTCCCCCCTCCCACCTCCCTCTCCACCCGATCCCTCTGGGTCTTCCCAGTGCACCAGGCCCGAGCACTTGTCTCATGCACCCAACCTGGGCTGGTGATCTGTTTCACCCTAGATAATATACATGTTTCAATGCTGTTCTCTTGAAACATCCCACCCTCGCCTTCTCCCAGAGTCCACAAGTCTGTTCTATACATCTGAGTCTCTTTTTCTGTTTTGCATATAGGGTTATCGTTACCATCTTTCTAAATTCCATATATATGTGTTAGTATACTGTAATGGTCTTTATCTTTCTGGCTTACTTCGCTCTGTATAATGGGCTCCAGTTTCATCCATCTCATTAGAACTGATTCAAATGAATTCTTTTTAATGGCTGAGTAATATTCCATGGTGTATATGTACCACAGCTTCCTCATCCATTCGTCTGCTGATGGGCATCTAGGTTGCTTCCATGTCCTGGCTATTATAAACAGTGCTGCGATGAACATTGGGGTGCACGTGTCTCTTTCAGATCTGGTTTCCTTGGTGTGTATGCCCAGAAGTGGGATTGCTGGGTCATATGGCAGTTCTATTTCCAGCTTTTTAAGAAATCTCCACACTGTTTTCCATAGTGGCTGTACTAATTTGCATTCCCACCAACAGTGTAAGAGGGTTCCCTTTTCTCCACACCCTCTCCAGCATTTATTGCTTGTAGACTTTTGGATAGCAGCCATCCTGACTGGCGCTTTTACCAATTTTTTAACTGAGTTATCTGTCTTCCTATTACTGACTTCTTCGTATATTCTGGGTATGAGCTCTTTATCAGACGTATGATTTGCAAATACTTTCTCAGAATCTATGGCTTGTCTTTTCATTTTTTTAAACAATGGTAACAGATAATTTTTACTTTGTTTGTGTATTCACTTGAAGGTGGTCCTCTGGATTGTTTCTGTTTTTGAACCACTACAAATAAAGCAGCCATGAATATTGATATAGAGATATTTGTGAATGCCTACATTTTTCTTTGTCATTACTTAATACTTGAGTGGAACTGTTGGGTTCAATGGTAAGTGTATGTTTAACTTTATACTAAACCACCACACTGGTTACCAAAGTAGTTATAGTAATTGCTAGGCCTTTATGGAAATTCTATGCTTAACCTTCCGAGGAGCTGCCATACTGTTTTCCTCTAGGGCTTTCCCACTTATGTTCTCATCGGCATTGTGTAAGGGTTCTGCTTTCTCCACATCCTTGCCAAAATGTCGTTTTCCATTCTGTTTGTTGTTTTTTAAATTATAGCCATTCTACTTAGGTGTGTTGAAGTATCCCACTGTGACTTAAATTTGCATTTACATAATAATTAGTAATTTTAAGCCTCATTTTATATGCTTATTGGACAGTTATACATCTTTGGAGAAATACCTAATAAAGTCTCTTACCCATTTTTGAATTGAGTTTTTGTTGTTGATTTTAGAAGTTTTTTTTCTATAGTCAGGATATTAATCCTTTATCAGATATACTATTCCCAACTGAATGATATATCTCACTTACCAGGTGTTGTATTAATTGTAATAAAATCCAGTTTATCTACTTCTGCTTCACTTCTTATGGCTTCAGTGTCATATTCAAAAAAATCCCTGACAAATCTAATGTCATGAAGATTTTCTCCAGTGTTTTCATCTAAAACTTTTATATTTTACTTTAAGGGGTTAAATACAAAGGGTTCCTAAAGGTTGAGGGCAAACACCATTTCAGACAGAGCTTTAATTGTCAACAGCTTTATAAAAAAAAAAAAAGTCACAAATTTCTTTAGTCCCAGATTATCCTAATGATTTGTTAAAAATAAAAATGCTCACCAATAAAAACAACTTTGAATTCTTTCATTTAGTGAAGAAATATTTTGTAATATGATTAATTGTATTTTAATTTGTCTGAATCGATTTGATTTGTTTAGTCTAGATTTTGGTATATTATGTTTCTTAAAATAGGTTATTTGTGCCCACCAAATATCTGCTGCCTTGTAAATAATTTTGCTTCTGTAACTGTGTGTGTGAATGATACAGCCTCACACTAGCCATGCATTCTTTCTTTTGTGTTGTATACTGCATATGTGGGTATCAGTTTTACTCAATTGGTACCCAAAAGACATTGTTTGATCTACTTAACGACCTGAGAGTTGAGAGAATAGTGATTAAAAAAAGAAAATTTGTAAAAATTGCCAATTTGCCATGTATCCCCCTGAAAATAATCTCTCTACATAGAATATAACCATAATTATGAACATGCATTTCCTAAGAATTATAAAACTTTTCTTTCATAACCAAACTGATACATTTTGAAACTTGAGAAGGGGGATGTTTAGTTTAACACCTACCGTCTTTGACTGTTAAATCCATTAAGATGATTCTCCCGGAGTTCAGACACTAATGATAAAACCATCTGTAAAACAAATCAGTTGCAGGTTAACTCACGCTGCAAACAGGATTACATCAGTTCTCTGTTTCCTGGTGTGAGTGATATTTCCGTTGAGATTCCCCACTCTCTTCCCCCAACAATCCTCCCCTTGCTTTACTTTTTCAAAATAAAAAGAAAGCAGTGCCAAATCACATTTACTAATAATCTGGATTTTATGTTTAATGTCTGTTACTCTGTATTCCTAAATATTTAAGCAAATGAATACTAGACAAGTCATTAATTTCCCCCAAATTAAAACCAAACCTATTAAAAACCATGTTAGAATTAGTTTACTTTTTTCTTTCTTAACTTGTTAATTTTTAAAAATGCTGTTCATGTATACAGCTTCCAAAAGACTAGAACAATATTCAAACATTAAAAATCTCAAACATTTTTTAGAAGAGCTATGCTAAGACCATAAATTGTTCCTTGAATTTAGCTAAAATTTAAGGCAGAAGAAATCACAGCTTTAATACTAAGATGTAAATATATAGAAGGTTGTTATTTATTGAATATTTTGTCTTAACATAAAATTCCCATCAGGTTATTTTTAAATATGAAATTTGTCCAACAGTAAAAGACTGTGTTTATAGTGGTTAAGGAAGTCTCTTCTCCCAGAAATCTTTGAGAGAATAAATGAGATGTGTTAAGGGACAGAGAGGTTGGTTGATTTAGAATAACCTCTCCTGGTTTCCTTCTTCTTCTCATAATCTCTCATCTCACATTTTTTCCTTACATGGCCATAAGTCCACCCAAGGTAAGAAGAGATAAACACAGAAAAGTTAAACATCTCTCCTGGAGGAGTGAAATATTTCCATTTACCTTTTTTGCAGATGGTACATTAAGCAATGAAAATTTCAATAGTAATAAATTAAAAATACTCACATTTTTAAGTAAACCAGGATAGTAGTCTGTGGGTGCATACCCAAGAACTTGATTAAAAAGATCAACTTCTTTTATATCAAATCTGAATGTGGAAACTATATGAGATAACAACCTCTAAAAAACATAAACAGAAAGAGATAAAGGTTTTAAAAGTGAAATAAGTGCCTATTATATATAATGCCAAGAAGCTGGGTCATTTGTAAATGGGGTGGTCTCAATGAAATGAATAATCTTAATTTTTCCAAATACCCAGTTCACTTTGATTCAGATATAAAGAGGAAATGAGTTAGTGATAAAATTATTACATTAAGTAAATTAAAAAAACATTAATAGTGAAATATGTATAACTAATGAACAAGGCTTTAACTACACTAAAAATGTGATCTTTACTGTTTTTAAACTCAGTAAAACATTCTTATCAGAGTAGAGATGATTACTTAATACCTGACAAGGACCACATCACAAATCACTAGGGAAAGGAAAGATTATGCAATAAATGGTACTAGGAAAACTACTTGAAAAAAATTATATTCTCACTTTATGTTACTTATCAAAATATACTTGAATTTACTGTAAATTAAAGAGATCAATGTAAAACTGAAATAAAATAATAAGCAAGAAGAAAATACAAGTACTTTTCACATGTCTGAATGGGGAAGAACTTTATAAACTCAAAGTCAAGGGAGCAAACCAACAGTTGTTCTAAACTACAACAAAACAGCTCCCCCTCAAAAAAAACCACCCTGCGTGTTTCCCAGTGAACATGCACAAACTAAGAACATTAACAACAAATGATACTGCGTATGTAATCAAATTTGGACTTCCCAGGTGGCACTAGTGGTAAAGAACCCACCTGCCAACACAGGAGATGTGACAGACATGGGTTCAATCCCTGGGTGAGGAAGATTCCCTGGAGGAGAGCATAGCTCAGCTTTCTTTATATAGTCCAACTCTCACATCCATACTTGACTATGGAAAAACCATAGCCTTGGCTAGATGGACCTTACAAAATACCATATGAAAATATTAAGAGCATAAAAAAGGCATAGGAACAGATAATTCCTAAGACAAAACACTAATACCCAAGAAACACATGGATAAATGTTTAGCCTCATAATCAAAAAGGGGAAATTTATACATCAACAAACCATTTTCCACTAAATGAATTAAAGTTTTTACAGACATGGATACCTAAGGCTAATCTGGGTTCTCTGAAACAGGTGTTCGGTGTGAGCTATTGGTAAAATTCAAATGGAATCACACATCAGTGCTACTGTAAATCAGACAAAGGCACCCACAGAGGGTGAGTGACTATAACACAGCCCATAACCCACCCCTAAGCTTCGACTGACAGGGCTATGTTTGCCTAGACATCTGTAACATGTAGACATGTTATAAGTGGTAACATTCAGACACCTTATAGGTTGGTTACTTTATAGAAAACAACTTGAGAATGTATATTAAAAATTTTAAAAGCATTCATGGCTTTTAATGTATCTGGCATACATTTAAGGAAATAAATCCAAATATGACAATGTGGATTATGTGCAAAGATGTTCACCACAGTGTTATTTCTTATAGCAAAAAAATGTCTAATAGGAGGGAATTATTAATCTGTGATACCCTCAATACTGTGGCTCATTGTAAGCCATTAAATGCTTATAAAGAACTTATGACAGCATTTTAAATGGTTATAATATTAAATGAAGAAAGGAAGATGCAAAATTGTATATATAGAAATGAACTCATCAATATAAAAGCAATCCAGACATAGGAATAAAAAAAATAATGAAAGAAAATATCACCAAACGTTAAGTCTCTGGGATGGCACTATTATGGGTTTATTATTTTTCTTCTTTCTGCTTCACCAGTTAACACAAGGGCACGTATCACTAACTCATCATGTCAATTCTATCACAAACTATTTTACATATTCAAAAAGATACAAAATAACACAACAACTCCTCCACCATGGAACTTAATAAAGCATCAGAAACACCAAGGAAGGCCTCTGTGCCACCTCTCTTCCCCATCCCAGTTCCTCCCTGGAACTCAACCCTAGGCTGGAGCGCACCCTTTTATGTGGATCATGGTACTTTCTTCCTGTGAGCTCTGACTTGCTCCGTTTCCTCAAAACAGAACTCCAGGCAGTAAGTTCATCTGTATCATTTATTTTTAGATTACATATAAGGGATATCAAACAGTATTTCTCCTTCTCTGACTTACTTCACTCAGTTTGACACTCTCTGGGTCTGTCCATGTTGCTGCAAATGAACTTACTTACAAAACGGAAACAGACTCACAGACTTAGGAGAGTGAATTTATAGTTCTTCGGGGAAAGGGATAGTCTGGGAGTCTGGGATGAACATGTACATACTGCATGTATGGATACAATGGATAACCAACAAGGACCTACTGTATAGCACAGGGAACTCTGCTCCATGTTATGTGGCAGCCTGGATGGGAGGGGGGTTTGGGGGAGAATGGATACATGAATATGTATACCTGAAATTATTACAGCATTGTTAATTGGCTATACCCCAATACAAAATAAAAAGTTCAAAGAAGAAAAAAAGAACTCCAGACAACACTACTAAGTAAATATAGGTTGAAACCTGCTCAAAGAGCTCAGCTGGTAAAGAACCCGCCTGTAACACGGGAGCCCTGGGTTCGATCCCGGGGTTGGGAAGATCCCCTGGAGAAGGGAAAGGCTACCCACTCCAGTATTCTGGCCTGGAGAATTCCGTGGACTGTATAGGTTATGGGGTCACAAAGAGTCGGACATGACTGAGCGACTTTCTCTCTCTGCTGTTCCTATCTGAAAGCCAACCTATTGTTTTCAAATTAGAAGAGTTCATAGCAAGCTAACAAAGTAACTTTGAAATACTACTACTTAGTAGAAGATATTAATGATTAAAAAAAAAGATTCAGCCACATGCATAATGTGACGCACAAAAAAATGAAACCACTGCGGAGGGAGAAAAACAGGAAATTTACAGAGTTAAAGTGAACTTTTTAATAAGGCATAAGACAATGAAAAGGTTCCTTCTAGAGTGAAGAAAAGTCTGGATGGAAGCTACTTGCCAAGTATTGGCCTTTTTTTCCTTTCAGTTCAAAGCTATCCTTTATAAACATAGCAAGCAAACAGGAGCTGACAACAGCCCTAGGAGAATTCACCTCCCAGTTATTTTCAAACACTAAGTGCATTCTGGGTGAGATCAAGCAGTTGTGGTTAGGTTGGCAGAGCCAGGGGAGGTAAATTACAGTCAGTGTCCCGTTCTTCGAAGGGAGGTGTTTACCGGTGGAGTCTCAGTTAACCACAGCAGGGGGCACACACGGTGCCTTCAGCAGGTGGGGCCTGACTCCCTGTGGGGAGTGCAGTGTAGGTGCTCTGGCGAAGGAAAAGTCCAGCCAGGCTTGCCCCTAACCACATGCTGCACCCATGTGGAGGTGCCCACAGCAGACCAGGCAGGGGGAGAGGGAAACTCGGTTTCCTTATTAGGAAACTCGGCTGCAAAAGGCTCGGAATCAGGAGCAGGCTGTGTTTCTCACACAGGAGATCAGTTTGATGCTAGATGGACGGAGAACAGCACTGGAAGTGCTTAACTTTCTGTTACCAGACTGCGGCATTCTATTTAGCAAACATTTAAAGCATTTATATGCTGCAAGCTGTCCTAACAATTTAGAGAGCAACTCATTTAATCCCCACAGCCTATGGAGTAAGTGTTATTACTGAAAGTGTTACCGATGAGGAAACTGAGACACACTGAAAGAAACATGCCCAAGACTGGTTATCCACTTTAAGGTAAAACCTTATAAGGAATCTCCCTCTATGGGTTCTCCTTGAAGCAGCTGGAATAGTTAAACAATGCAAATCTGATTGGATTCCCTGGTGGCTCAGTGGTAAAGAATCCACCTGCCAATGCAGGAGAGATGCAGGAGATGTGGATTTGATCCCTGGGTCCGGAAGATCCCCTGGAGGAGGAAATGACAACATACTCCAGTATTCTTGCCTGGAAAAATCCCATGGACAGAGGAACCTGGAGGGTTACAGTCCATGGGGTTGCAAAAGAGTCAGACATGACTTAGTGAACTAAACAACAACACTCAGCTTGGTGGTAGTTTAGTCCCTTAGTGGGGTCCGACTCTCTGCAACACCATGAACTGTAGCCTGCCAGGCTCCTCTGTCCATGCAATTTCCCAGGCAAGAATACTGGAGTGGGTTGCCATTTCCCAGGAATCGAACTTGAGTCTCCAGCATTCCAGGTAGATTCTTTACCGACTGAATCACCAGGGAAGTCAACATTCAGCTTAAGGCTCCCAATAACTCTTAGGGTGAAGCTCAAACCTCTCCCTAAAAGATGAAACATTGCCCACTGGTTTTGCAGCCCCCATCTGGGACTGATTTTGCCTCCTTAGCTTGTCTGGGAACCTGAAGGCTCTTTAGTCCCTTAAGGCTTTGGTATGTTCTAGTCCCTCTGACAGGAGGGCTCTTCTAGCCCAATTACCTGCTTAAGTGTTTCTTCTTGAGGGTTTCTAGCAATAATAACAAACAAAGTTTTTTTGAGTGCTTACAATATATAAAGCGCTGGGCTATGCTCTCTAAGTATGGCATCTTACTTAAAATCCCATAAATTCAGTTTTTAACAAAACTCAAATAAGCAAAATTTCAATTAAGCCTAAGGTCATGGCACCCTGTCCTATCACTTCATGGCAAATAGACAGGGAAACAATGGAAACAGTGACAGACCTTATTTTCCTGGGCTCCAAAATCACTGCAGACAGTGACTGCAGCCATGAAATGAAAAGACGCTTACTCCTTGGAAGAAAAGCTGTGACCAACCTAGACAGCATATTAAAAAGCAGAGACATCACTTTGCTGACAAAGGTCCATATAGTCAAAACTATGGTTTTTCCAGTATTCATGTACGGATGTGAAAGTTGGACCATAAAGAAAGCTGAGCACCAAAGAATTGATGCTTCTGAACTGTGGGGTTGGAGAAGACTCTTGAGAGTCCCTTGGACTGCAAGGAGTTCCAATCAGTCCGTCCTAAAGGAAATCAGTCCTGAATATTCATTGGAAGGACTGATGTTGAAGCTGAAAAACTCCAATA